GCAGCGGAGATGATGGCAACACTTGCGAGTGCGAGAATCGAGAACTCGCCGGAGAACTCTGAAATTCTCATTCTCTGAATTCCCATTCCCCTCGTCGTGTTCCGTGGCCCGTTCTCGGGCTCGTTCCGAGACCCAATGCCAAAAGATGAAAAGCCAGGAGGAGCGGTGGGTCGTAAAATGCGCGTGTATCTTGCCTCTCTCTCTCTTTCACCCGTCTCCCTTGTTCTCATACGCCGTATGGCAGAAACAACCACCAGATACACACACACACACACACACAGACCGGCTCATGTCCAATCATTTTATATACGCCATTTGCTGTCTGCCGCAGATACATTTGTATCTTTATGTGCGAAACAAGTCCGAGAGTCGCCCAAAAAAAAAGAAAAAAACCCAAGCCAAGCCAAACCAAGCTGTATCTTTATCTGAAGCTGAGGCTATATTTGAAACTGAATACTGAAACTGACACTCGAGTTTCGAGGCTGACGACATCGACGAGTCAATTTTGAATTCCAGTTTCCCAGCCAGGGAACGGTGGTTGTTGCCGTTCTAATCATTTGATTGTTATTCTTTCGACATTCTATACTCCGCTCATCCCGGTATCCCAGGGATACATCTCTTCCATTTTCAACCCCAAAAACGAGTTCACATGGCAGCCATCTCCCGGAGGCTTATCTTTTGATTACCAGATCGAATCGTATTGAATTAGGTACATATTTTCAGCACTTTGTGACAACTTTTTACCATTACCCCGCATATGCCGCAAATTCGACATGGATAAAAAGTATTTTAACCCTCGGAGTATCTAAGATTTTAAGGATTTAACTTCAATTTCCAACAATATATGTATACCTACGACTTATTTTATTTTTCATAGCCATGTTTGCTAAATATTTATTAAAATTCAAAATGAAAATTAGGGAGGCAAACTTGCTATATTTATGTTATTAAAAGATTTGTGCAAATCTTGTTCATGTAGGAACTTCTTTTATAATGCAGATACTTATTCCTGTTAACCTCTTTCTATCAAAATATAGATTATTTTTTATACTTGCTTGTTATTAATTATACTTGCAAATCATCGTCCGTTACCTGATTAGTTTGAAATACACATGTGGTATCTTTGCATATATTTTTAAAATATAAAGAATAAAGGAATACAAATCTATCAACATACAATTAAATTCCTTGAAATATTTATAACTAAAAATGACAAGTTAGCTTCGAATGCCAAAATGTTATTTAATTCTTTTATTTTTCCGTACTCCATATGATTTGACTAAACAGTCGATATATGTAGATAATCAATTACATCTATTTTCCCGAAAGACTACATTAAAATTAATTTCTATATTCACATAGGTTCGAAAAAATGTCGATACGATTTCTGTTAAATACATTTTTTTAAGTGAATACTTTAAATATTTCAAAAATTTAAGTGTGACTTTTTCATTTCAATTTCTGGGAATCAAAATAGTAACATAAGCACCTTTGGGTAAAATGCCCTTGATTAATGGCTAATTAGGTTAAGACTGCGATTGAATTGCTCTGCTAAAATATAGGTATAGTATCTGGGTAATGTTATCGTTTCTGTATAATTTTCTCTATAATTCTACAAAATTTGATCTTCAAATTTTATAGCGAATTTCTGCGTTCAACTAATCAAATGGCTTCAGAAAAATATAATAATAAATGTTGCCAATATTGTGTAAACAATAGCAATAAGAAGAATATGAGAGAATATCAGAGTTCTTAGGGTACTGTTTTTAAACATTATAAATTAAATATTTTATTTAGTTTATAACTAAAATCTCTAAAAATTTTAGCAAGCCAAATTGTAAAAGTTTCAATAAATCAATTAAATCCTCCTTTTTTCGACAGGTAACTCTAAAATCAAAATATATCAATTAACAAGGATATCAAGAGTTTCTCCATTAATAAATTTATACTTTACTAGTCTTATTGAAGTTACTGACAAAAATAAGTGTAAAAACTTATAGTTCGGTTTACTTTTTACAGAGAACCACACTTCAATCGATTTGTTTTAAAATGCTTGCCTCTCGGGAAACTACGATTTCGGTGTTGGTGGTTGGTGAGTCCGTTGGACGCAACCACCCGCTGAGCAGACCCATCCCCATCCCCAATAAGAGACCCTGTTTCAATCCAACCCCAAGGAGCACATTGCAACCCACCGCCGTTCGATGGGTGAAGCTGCTTTCTAGTACATAACGTAAAAAACGCATGAAACCGAACCGAACAGAACCGAAGCTGAGGCTGAAGCTGAACCTGAAGCTGAAGCTCTTTATCTCGCAATCTGTGAACCTTTCGAGAAAGAGGGGAAATGCCATGGCAGTGTTTACATAGCAGGGTGCATTTAATGGCATTTCCCGCTCCGCACACGAAGCCTCTAAGCTCGGGGCATCGATGAAAACTTATTCAAATTTATATAAAGGTAGATAGATCGGAGTGAGAGGTATATATACTATATGTACTACATGCATCTATCGGGTGTCTCAAGTAGGGGTTGAATGGCATTTAAACAACGAACAGATTGTGTGGGGTTCAGTTTTATGATCCCAAGCGAAGGCAATTATCAATGCAAATATTTGCTTTTGATATTGAATCGAAATCCTAATGAGATGTACCCTTTAGACACATGTACTTTAGATATATGTACTGTTACATGATAAATATTGTATATTACTGCAAACATCTGGCGCAAGGAATTGTAATGAATAAATGTTCAGATCCCTAAAACTTTAAATAAAGAACAAAGAAAAATAGTATAAATCTTGGAATTTATAGAAATTATATTAAATTTAAACGCAGATGAATTGATATGTTTATTTGTAACTTGACTTACTAAAAAGTAGTAATCACAATTCGATAACATTGCAAGGCGGTAAATATTGAAAACCTTTAGAGAGTTACACCATTTAATTATCTGCTTTGTTAGGAAAAAGTATTATTTTTTAGTTCACTAATAAGATAACTGAACAGTTAAGGAAGCTAGCCCCGAGAAGCCCTAGTATATATGTATAAGATTAGTAAACCAAAGATGTATAAATCTAAATTTGTATGATTTCAAATCGATATTGTCGATATATGCATTAATTTCAATTTGTATAGCTTTTCTTTTCATGTTCTTATAGCCTTAACAAATCTGAATACTAAGTTTTTAAATATAACACATTTAAAAATTTTGCAAATTTTTGACAATTTTAACGATCAAATCAACGAATTAAATTAAACAATCTTATCAAATTTTTGAAATTTTGAAAAATGTTGAAGTTTTTGCTTCTTTTTGAACTAGGCTAGATCGACTCAGCTGTTGATGCTGATCCAGAATATATATATTTTATAGGGCCGGAAATGACTGCTTCACTGAGTTGCAAGCTTATGACTAAAACTATAATACCTTCCAAAGGTATAATAAAATAGCAAAAGTTGGAAATATTAAAAGGGTAAGTACTAGTAGTCGTGAACAATTTATAATTTAATTAGGCTGTTAACTTTGATAAGATAAACCTTAATACAAATTGCTGTGTCACTTTGAATTAAAATAAAGTAATGCGAGCCATGGCAATAAATGAAAAAATAATTGCATAGCAAGCAGTAAGCTTCTTCTTGGTTATATATTCATATTGCATTAAACAGGTGATATTTCTGGATCGAAGGGCAATCCCAATCACTACCACTATCACTTCCACTATCACCATCGATGTTAACAGGGAGGCGGCCACGGACAGAATGAGGCCAGCGAGGCGGGTGTGCCTGTATTTATAGTCCCCGAGTGAAGAGAACAGAGAAAGTGAGAGAGAGAGAGAGAGAGAAAGAGGTACCTATAGAGAAAGGCAGACGCAGAGACATAGAGAGAGAGGGAGCCATAGAGCGAGGGTGGGGTCTAGAGACAGAGTAAAAACGCTGGATAAAGTAAAAGCAGCTATATGATATAGTCGTTCGATCCGGCTCACTCCACCTTACATACATATACACAGTGAGAGAATTTATAACATTAACATTAACTAACATTAACATAACTATTTAGATCGAACTACTGACTATATCGACATGGCTGTTGATGCTGATTAGGAAATTATATTCTTGACTAAAATTATAATATCATTGAACTCCTGTTTTTAATTTGCATACCTTTTTTAAAGTTATCTACTAATTTCATCAATAATATAATTTTTTAATAAACCAATTGAACCATTTCCTTTTAAAATGCACTAAAGTCAGAGTTTAATTAAAACTTTAAATCCAAATTACTTACGCTTTTCTCATAAAGAACCATATGCCAGTATGATATAGATATTTACATGTAGATATTAAGAAAACTTCCAGAAACACAGTTACATAATAATTTATTTAATCTTAAGACATATGCCGAAACAAGACTATTAATTCTAGTTTTAATTTATTTAAGCGCTGTATTACAATACCAGTTGAGAACAGAGATGGTAACGAAAAATCAGAAAAACCCAATGGAAACGAAAGAAAATTTCAAAGAAAATATAAACGTATTTATGATGTTTTATTTTGATGACAGAAAGCCTAGTTTTAGTTTTTCAATTTGGCTGAGAGAGCTGAGATTACGAACTGATCTGCTTACGAGTAAGTGCAGTACATACGTACTTTGATTTACGTGGTGTACGAGTACGAGTACCGAGTATGTTATGGATGTCTATGAGTAAATTCGATGGTGAGAGAGGTCGTTTGCGATGTGTTGACATCCTCCTCTTTGGTGTACTTACCGAAAACAAAAACAAATACAGGAGATGAGAAAAAATCAAGGAAAATAATTCGAAATATTCAGGATATAATTAAATAATGGTACAGCGATCATTGAAAAAACCGCCAAAGAAGTTGGAATACGTTTGAATTGTGTGTATATTTTTTGCACTGCTGCAAATTGTTGTATTTTATTCACAATAATTAACTTTTTAAAAAAGAGAATTGCTAATGCTAGATTAAAATTCACTAAACAAACTATAATCGAACATAATCATAAACATAACCGACTTTAGACTACAACTTATCGAGGGCTCGAAATAATAATAATACAAGAACATGAATAAAGCAGTGGGTGAAATCATTTCTTCATCAATTATGCATATATCTAATTATACACATATAGAATGAGAGGCATAGGTGTGTAGGTGTAGGTGTATAGGCTTTAGGATTAGGTTTAGGTTTTAGCATAATAATATAATGCTCGGGGCAAAACATTAACAAAATCGATAATTACACAACACAACTAAACTTAGACTTAATATCAGGATCAAGCGGCATCGATACACATGAAAATATATGTATATGCATATGTACGATTACTATATGGTATATAGTACTATGTGTAAGTTATATAAGTAGCTGTTACGGTATGCTAATTACTTTCTCCTCGACATGTCCACCCCGTCCATCGATTCCTTTTTCTTGTTTTTTCTGTTTTTGTTCACACTCGCTTACTTTAGTAAAATGTATATTCATCTTGCTTTAGATTTTCTTTAGTTTTGTGTATGCTGGATTTAGTACGAGTAGTTTAGAGTTAATTTAATTCGAAAGCGACTTTCAACTATGGAGTAAACATGCACACACACATTGAAAATTTGCGACTTACTATTATACCATTTGCTAAAATCGAATTCGACTTCATATATCATACACATATCGAATATCTTCAATTTATATATCTGCATTTAGATTAATTTATCGAGTGGTTGCTTTGGCCGGGAGGTACCGGCGCACTGTCTTAGTTTATATACAGGAACTTAAAGGGTATCAAAGGACACGACACGACGAACATCGAACACGACAAAATTTATCCTAGGCCTTGCGGAGTGTGTGTGTGTGTGTGTGCGTGTGTTGGGAGGATCTCGAAAATTGTTAAACAATTCGTTTTGTTTTGTTTTTAAGAACATTATTTTGTTTTTTGCTGGGTCTACAATGTGCTCATCCTAATTTAGCCGCTCTTAAATGGATAGTTATGGTAAAATCTACTACTCGAACGCGTGTATTCATAATTTATGCGGGATTATATTCACGTTGACGTTTAAGTATATTCATATTCATAATTTATAATTCAGAAAATTCATGGTGCTCGCTAAGTTTAATGAGAGCGTCAAGAGAAGTACATATAGTACATATACATATATATTTTCATATTCCATATTTGCTGCTTCTGCTGCCATCTTACTCGTATCTATATATTCAACTACCGAACTAAGCTGCTGGGTCTGGGATCTCTAGGGATCTCTACAACTGACTTAATAATTAACTGCATTCCAATCATTTGTCAGCGATGCCAGCGCGGTACTGGGCTGCCACAGATCATGATCCTTCAACCTCCTCCTCATCCTAGAGATCTCTCTGGGTTTTGTACATTTTACTTTCTCTTTCTCATTATATATATCTCCATTCGCTGGCTAACAGGGAAAGTCCAGGGCCAGCTCGTTCTTGATCAGATGGTGGTTCGGATCGGTCAGGGGATGGGGATTCGAATGCGGATGCGTATGAGGATCCCCCTGCGAGTTCGGCTGCGGCTGCGGCTGCTGGGGATTCACCGAACTCGGATTGGCTAACTGCTAGTAGGTGGCAAAGCCCATTGCTCCCGCACTGCCATTGTCCAAGGGTCACTGGTGCATCTTCGTGGAGTGGTGACCCATGCTCAAGCCAAGGTTCAGATGATGGTTGCTATGATGCTGCTGTGTTGGCTGCGCATGGTTGTGATTGCTGCTCGAATTGTTGTTATTATTCTGCTGATTGGCCTGGCGCTGTGAGTTCTTCTTGTTCTTCATGCGCCGATTCTGGAACCATATCTTAACCTGAAATAATATATATAGTATTATATATTTCGAGTTGATAAGTTTTAAAGTAGTAGAACTCACCTGTCGCTCGGTCAACTGCAGATTCCTGGCCAGCTCCCAGCGCTTCTGCTTGGACACATAGGCATTAAAGAGGAACTCCTTCTCCAGCTCCAGGGTCTGGAACTTGGAGTAAGGCTTTCGCTTTTTCCGGACTGACACCTGGCCGGTCCACTCGTGCAGGGCGGTGTTGGGCGTGCAAGGACCCACAGCACCCACCGACAATCCACCAGAGGCTCCTGAAAAAATAATATAAAAAGGGTTAAGGTTAAAGTCAGCAGACAAAATCAAAAACTGCTGGTGGTCCCCGCACTATTTCCGTTTTTAATGTAATATCAGATCGTAAAGTTTATAGAGCAATTAAGGAAATTGTTTAGCAATAAGCGTTATACAAAATTATTCAATTCAGTGTTTATGGCCCCTTAATTGGCTGCAGTACAGGGAGCGGGTCTCCGAATTGGCATGAGGCCCATTCACACCCGACTGAGTAATGGGTAATGGTTAATAGGTAATGGATAATGCATACATTCGTTCCCGGTCATTGGGCTCCCAAATGAAGCAATTAAGTTTATGCTTAAAAATGTGACAATTTGGATTTATTTTTTTTTAGTTACATATAATTATATTGGGTCATTGATAAGACATTTATCTTGTCTTGCATTGCACACAATTTAAATATACCTGAGAGAATATTAATAAATAAGTTTCAACCCCACTCTGACATCTCACTTATTGAAGGTGTCTTTTGAAAACTTGTCAACTATTTAGGTGCTGTGAATATTGAAAATATGCATACTTGGCCTTCGCAAAACTTGTTAGAGTAGCCATTGAAGTGCCTGCTTTTTTATGATATATAACCCGATAAAAACGTTTCTTTAGTATTGGGGAATCCCTAGGTGATTAGTTGACAGAACTTAAAACTCTCAACTTCTGGTGATAAGACGACACCAGCGAAACATAGCCTCCATAGAATGTGCTTCCAACGACTTTCACACCCACATTAAGGCGTAACGTTAGCCAAATAGCGACAATCGATTTATGGGCTGTTTTGCACTACGCTAATTGAACGGCAAGTTTGCCGTTTCGGTTTCGGTTTTTGCAATTCGTTTTTCCAAGCCGATAAGGTGACAACAGCAGCCAACAAAATGCACATAAAAAAAAACTGAAGATACTTTCTAAATGTTCTGAGTTACTTATTTTACTTTTAATCCAAATAAGTTAAGTTAAGTATAAATTAAATTTAATTAATTAAACTGGTAATGTATCTTAAACCTATAATCTTTATAAAACGTATTTAATTGGCTTTATTTTTTGAATACTAAATACTTTTACTAAGAACACCTTTTGGAGTGTTTCATAAATAAAAGGAATGCCAAGTCTAGAACCAGTTTAAAATCTCAGAAAATACCTCAAGTATAAATACCAGAATAATATTTATTTTATAAATAAATTAAATTAAATGCCTCAAATAAACTTTTGTAAAATGCTTCAAGTAATTGTATGTATTTTATGAATTAATTAAATTAAATACCAAATTTAAATATTTATAAAAGATTTAAGTAAATATTTATTCCCGTGTTGAAGCTAACCTTCCCTTGACTCTCCCAACTTCTCCAACTTACCTGAGCTGGAGTAGGCCTCACTGGGATAGCCCCGTAGACCGCCCGGCGAGGAGTAGGTGGGCGGCTCATAACTGGACTGCGAGGTGCCCTCGACGGACTGCCGGGCCGCTGCTGCCGCGCTCACGTGTCGGTCCTCGGTGGCGCTCATGTAGGCCGCCGCCGCCGCTGAGGTCGGCTGGTCGGTGCGGTAGTTAGGCCAGTACTGCTGCGATAAGGAATTGTTCATGGCAGGTGCATTTGGGGGGGGGCTAATGGAGTGCCAGGTGTGGCGACCTCACCTGAAACTGGGTGTCTGGGTAGTAGGGGAACATGTGCTTGCGATCCCGCTGCTCCATGTAGTACTGCGACGCGGAGGCGTGGTACTGGTTGAAGCCGTCATCATTGTATGGCCAGGGGGCCGTGTGCCGCTTGACCGCCGCCGAGGCGTCCGTCTCAAAGCCCGGACCTGGCCGGATGGCGGGTATGTGCAGTGGCGCTAATTGGATGGACATATTGATGTCTGAAAGGTAACGAAAGTGGCCTATTAATATCTAGTCAATCTTTGCGTGGGAGTGTGTATTTTTACGACTATTTATGAATACTTAATGCGACCTAATAGATCGCAACTAAAGGTTAAATGCAGGGAAAAGAATTGCCTTATCATACTAATTGTTAAATACTGAAATAAGTATCTTTACTCATTTATAATTTCACGAATGCATAAGTTTCACAAAAATGTATCTTAACCTAATAAAATGCTACATTGCAGTGCCCTCTCAGCAAGTAATGTCTTAAAAAAAGATGGGTTGCAATCCATAATACCTTACCTTAGTTTACCTTAGTTATATATTTGAAATAAACATAAATAATAAGCCCTTAATATAAACACTTATTTTCATTTCCCAAAGAAACCCTTTTAAATATGTACGAAAAGAACGAAACTATAATATCAATAAACAAAAAGTTATTAATTTTTAAAACCTTTTTGTAAAAAAATCTATAATGAGTAAATTTCCACACAAACGATTAAGGCCTCATTTAACGGTGCTCATTTATAGAACCACCCATGAAATACATATTGTTGGTTATAGGCCCTCTTATCACCTCTTCTATGGCAGAGCGATGAACTAAACAAAACTTAGAATATAATTTAATATGATTGAAAGAAACGTTTTACTATTTCAGGCAAAATTTGTAAATCCTTTTTCATAAAGAATATTATAAAGATTTCTTTTAAAATATTTTATTGAATGATTCTTTGAAGTTTTAGAATTCATTAAGCAATTCTTCTGAGTTTGATTATATTTTTCTTTTTTAAATATATTAACTATTTGGTAACTTATTTTTTTCACCAATTTTAAAAATGAATTTTTTAAGTAGGGCTAAGAATTTTCGTAGAAGAACTTCTTAACTTTCCAAAAGAATCCTCATTCTCTCTAAAACTTCATGCCCCTTTTATCATCTGTTTTTTTAAGAATTTTAAAAATGTTTCAAGGAATTAAATTAAATTCCTTTGGGTTTTTGGAATAGTTAATCGAATTTTAAATAGCCTATAAGAACTTGAAGCCCCATCTTTTTACAACATAACTTTCCTATCAGATCAGACAGAGTTTTTTAGAATAAATCAATAGGATTTTGCATTCACATCATTTTAAGGACCTCACCTTCCTTCTGGGAACTAACACTGGAGGGAGAAACACTGGCTGTGGTCGGCGCCACGATCTGCGCCTGGCCAGAAGCGACCGCTGAGTTCTGTTGCTGCTGCTGCTGCTGGAGATTCGAGGAGGCGCCACTAGCCACACTATTTGGGGTTTGTTGCTGCTGCGGCAGTTGCTGGTGGTGCGGCGATGTGAGATGTTGTTGCTGCGTCTGCTGCTGTTGTTGTTGTTGGGCGGAGGGACCAGTAGGTGTTTGGGCGGGACTGAGGGCACCGGCCACCGTTGGTGTGGTGGCCAGCTGTTGCTGCTGCTGTTGTGGGTGTTGCTGCTGCTGCTGCTGTTGCTGGGGAGCGGGGAGGTGTTGCTGCTGCACGGAGACAATGGGCACGGGCACTGGTGGATGTGGATCCTCGTACATGACCGCATGGGTGGGCGTGGAATGTGTGGTGGGCGTCGTCTGCTGTTGTTGCTGCTGCTGCTGCTGCTGCAGCACCGCGGAGGGCGATGTTGCCAGTTGCTGTTGCTGCTGCTGAAGGTTGGGATGCGCGCTGTGGTGATGGCTGGTGGTATGCAATGGCTGAGGCAGGTGGTGGTGCGCATGGTGATGCAGCTGCTGGAGATGTTGTTGCTGCTCCTGCTGCAGATGTTGCTGCTGCTGCTGCTGTTGTTGCTGTTGCTGCTGCTGCTGCTCCTGCTGTTGCTGCTGTTGCTGCTGCTGCTGTTGGAGATGATGCTGCTGCATGGCGGGATGCGGATGCGGCTGCAGGTGCGGGTGGGCGGTGTGGGCGTGGGTGTGTGTATGATGCCCCCACCACGCCCCGGCAGCGGCGTGCGACCCGACTGCCGAGACATCGTGGGGGTCGTAGAGAGCGCACGCCAGCGGGATGGTTGGGGTCTGGGGGAGGGGTGGAATATTTACGGTTATCTTGCACGCGTTTCACTCGAACTGGCGAAAGGAATCGAAGTTCTTCCGGGGTCGATCGCCGCGACCCGCCAACTCTTACTCAGTTTCTCTCTTAATTCTCCTTTTATATTTAATTACAATTATTGTTTTTTTATAATTTTTTGTTTTAATGTTTTTAGTTTTTTTCTTTTGTAAAATCCAAAAATTCTTTAGCCTTTGGATTTTTGCGTACCGCACACGCACACAGACGAGGCGTACACGCTTACGCACTCACACACACGCACACAGCTTAAAGAGCGAACGACAAAAGAGAGTCACTTAGCGTTGTTGTTGCTGCTGTGGCACAGGGGGCGGATGAATTCGATCGAACGGCCAGAAAAAGAGAGTTTCCTCTGCACAGGGTGTTCGCGGTGTTCAAAATCTCACAAAATATTCAAATTGGGTATTTTTGAATTTAGTTCTTATGTTGTTTTTTTAAATTGGAATTTTAAAAACACTCGTCTGGTTTCTGTTTATTTTTTCGTTTCTTTACGTTTGGCTTTGCTTTGCTTTTCCTTTTTCCTTGGTTATTTTTATTTTGATATTTTGTATTAATTATAATAAATAATTTATTATTGCCGACTGTGTTTTTGTTTTTTAGTTTTTTCGATGCCGGCACAAATCGCGACTGGGTGTTGTTGTTTCCACTGCTGCTGCTGCTGCTGCTGGGGCTTGCCTTTTTATGTTGCTGGTCATAAAATTTGATTTTACGACCAAAACAAACAATTAAACTCAATGTTTGCAACAGTTAACAAAAATGTTATTATTTTTCCCACACATTTGCTGGCCGTGTTGTCTTCTGATTGTGATTTAATATATTTGTTTGATTTGTTTTTTTTTTCCTTTCTCGATTTCCAGCTTAAGTTTGAAAACTGCTCGAAATCGTCCAAGTCCCTGGAGCTTGTGAGCTTCCTCCAGAGGTTGCAAGAGGGGCCTCTGTGTGCGTTGTGTTGTTGCCGCGGTGGCCGTTGTAGCTGCTGCCCAACCGAACGGAGCGAACGAACAATCGACGATAACACGCTGGCAGAGTTGAAATCGAACTGATGCCAGAAACGGAAACACTGACATCGCCAAGCGGCGGCGACATGCCAAACGCACACACGGACACATGGACACACGGACGCTGAAAACCAGAAACGGCGCCGTGTCCGTGTGAGGCGAAAGAGAGCGCGCGCATGCGCTCACTTGGTGGTGGTTTCCCAGCAGGGCGCTCTTTTTTCAGTGGCGTTATGCACACGTACACTATACACAGCGTGCGTGTGGATCCCAGCAATACGAGTGTGTGTGTGTGTGAGTGTGGGGTAAAGAGAGCGCCCGTCTGGGTTCTAAGGGGGATACGACTTACAAAAAAAAAGAAAATATTACCAGAGACGGAATCTGAATTTTTTCAATTCAACATTCTGGAATTCGCTGAGCTCAGCAGGTGCTTGCCGGGGTCAGTAAAGGTGGCACCCACACATGCACACACACTGTACACCGTACACTATACGTGTGTAAGACTCTTCGAGTGCCATGCCGCTCACTGACTCATCAGTGGAGGAGTGCTCTTTCAGCGGGGGCTGATTTGAATATTTAACACGCGCGCACCGCAGCGCCATCTATGGCAGAGATTTCAGTATTGGAATGGGGAAGGGGGTCCAAAAGGGGGTTTACATGTTGTGTGTAAGTTAGCTTACACACATCTCCTGGTTGTGGTATCGATTTCAATATAAATTCTAAACAAAAATTTAAGTTTAGACCTATTTTTAAACTTTTTAATAGAAAAATATATAACAAAAATAATGTTATTTAGTTTCTCTAAATGTATTCCCTCCATCGCTTCTTGTTTCCAAAAATGGCGCTAATTAATGTTAATTAGCTAAACAAATAGATGCGTGCGCCAGCTCCTTTGACAAATTATTACAGCACAATTGGAATCAAGGAATCCCCGGGCTCAAGTCCACCCCTATATCCTTTGTCACAACTTCCCTGCCTAGCTGTTTTTCTTACATTTCTACGGATTTCCTTCCCTTTCCCGCCTAAGGCGGCAATTGCCAAATTTAACGCTGCAATGGACAATTATTATGGGAATTTTATGGCAATTGCCAATGGAAGAAAAGAAACAGAGGAGAAAACAGAGTCGAGGGCAAAGAAATGTTAACAAATCGTAAAAAGGATGCGACTGGGCAAACCCTTAACCCGTTCTCAGTCAAATGTGTGTGTATGTACATTGTACAATCACATAAAAATCCATATACGGCAATTACAATAATACATTTATGTAAGGGTTTTGAAAAAAATCTGGAAGATGATATTTTAAAAATCCCTTTTCATATATAGCAATAAATTTGTACAGATTTGTTAATATTGGAATATATATAAATATCCTTATAATTATAATTTTAAAAGATACTTATACTTTCCTTATAAGTTAATATAGAATATATGTATATATCTTACCTGTAGGATGGGAACTAACGCTGGAGGGAGAAATGCTCGCCGCTGTCGGCGCAACGAGGTGGCTTTGGCCGGACGCCACCGCTGAGGGTTGCTGACTTTGGAGGAGCTTGGAGCTGGTACGGGATGTCAGTGCCACCTGATGCCACTCAGTTCCTCAGTGCTGCAAGTAAAGAAAACAAGAAAAGAGGTCGGTGAGCCATCAATAAATCCGGGCGCCACTCATCATCATCGTCATAGTTGGCCATTTTAGCTGTCCTGTAAAGAGGACAGTGAGGTCTTTATGGCCGGCGCAAACATCTTGTTTGATTTTGACACCGAGCAGGTAATAATGCAGGCCAGGCTGACGGCCAACCAGGATGCAGGATGCTGGATGCAGGATGCCGCGATTTCCCGCTGCGGAAGTGAGCGGCGCCGGGCCGGAAAAAAGGGAAAGGCAATGCTTCAGAGTCAGTAAGACAAGGCGACATGAGACATGCAGACAGCCGTCAAACACGTCGTAAAATTTGTTTCTCGTTTCGCATTTGCATTGTGCAACACTCACGGATACAGATACTCGCACTCTCGAGATACACACTCACACACACTTGGAGTGCGGTGTCAGGGTCAAAGTCAACTTCCCTTGCCCTTCGACAGTTTGTACTTTCATGCCCAACTGAACTCCACTCCAGTCGCCTTTCAGAGAAGGAACGCAGCCACTGCCTCCATGTGTCCCTCAAGAGTTTCGCTTTCGCTTTGATCGCACTCGGCTCTCTCGTAAAATCATTTGACTGAAACTTCACTTTAAAAAACGGAAAAAAGGAAAAGGAAAAACTAAAAGGGAAGTGGCAGAGGAAATGGGAAACGCAACCGATTTGTGCGGAATAAAGTTGTTCGAGGGACTGTAAAGTTATGAAGTTATTCTCAGTCTTCTCAATTTTCAGGTCTATTATGATTTTATTACTTAATTTTTACACAAAATAAACAAAATATTTATTGAGTTTATATATAAGATACTTGTTTATAAAATGCTTTCCTATTGGAATCAAGGATTAAGTTAAGACATCATAACTTTTCCCAATTAAACCTTAACTTTCTCAAATGCTACAGCTCTTTTTAATAAGCTAAAATGGAATAGCTTGTTATTTTTGCCATTTAAATTAGAAAATATGAAAAATACATAAAACTTTATGAAATAGAAGAACCCGGTTCCCAACTGCAACAATCATCGTGGGAAGATCGGTTTGGTGGGTGTCACAATTATTGTGAATAATTTGTATAATTTCCTTTTGTCGTCGACAATAAAGCCTTTCATTCGCTGCGACATTCTTATTTTTTTCGATGGGAATAGAGCGATAGCCATAAAAAGAATTTCTTCCATTTTTAACGATTCTCGAATTTGAATAAGTTAATTAACAAAATTAATATTCAAATGAGTTTATGGCCGAAATGGCGGCGGCTTATGGCTTCATTATGTTATGTCTGTGCTCGGGCTAAAAAATTTAAATTCGGACAACAATAAAGCCACCACAAAATATATATAATCATCTTGGACAAATTCACATGCAATATGTCCGAAGAAAGGAATGAAAAGTGAGAGACAGAGGCAGGTTCATTGGCCAGTCGCCATAAAAAAAGGCGAAAGAAGAGCCAGAGGTTTCTCTCGGTGGGTTCTTCTTCTGAGATGCTGCGTCCGAATTAAATGAAATAAAATTAAATTCATGTTATCCAATTAGACACAGCTCTCATGGAGGGGTGCACCACGATCTTTAATGATCTTTCTCCCAGCTAATTATGATGCCTTCAGAACCTTTAATGGCCGGGAATCTCTTTATTCTCGGAACCCTTTTCCTTTGGACCCGAAACGTTTTCCATGAAAGCGAGCGCAACCGGAGACGAATCACAAGATACGCGGCTTGATTCCTATTCCAAGTAAACTGAAAAACTAAGCTCGGTTTGGAGATGAGGCCACCGGTGGACTGCTTTTCCAAACAAGTTTTCTCATTCCTGTTCTTTTTCTTTCTTTCTTTCTTTCATTTTTTTTTTCATCTTTGTTTTTGTATTTCGTTTGATCGTGGAAACGTGTTCTGGGCGATTCCAATGAAAAGAGCCAGCAAAGAGCCAGAAATTGGGCAACAGCCGCCAGAATCATTTGAGCGAGAGATACAAGATACAAGATACATACATCCAGAGCCATAATTAGAACAAAGAGCGAACGGAGGGGCTGAAAAATGAAATATCGTGCTGACAGCTTCCAAGCGAGACATTTTGTGGAAAGATGTCAGAGGCACAGGCGGCCATGTATCTGTATCCCTAAGATACATTCTGTCGGATGCATGTGTTTTCGTTCCCAACATGGCCACCGCCCCGCTCCCTGTTTTTCCTCGCTTTGTTTACAAAGCATTTCCATTTCCATTTTTCTTCTCTTTTTTTTTTGCGCTACATCCTTTGGACTGATGCATCCTTTGTTAATGCAATTTATGATTGGAATTTGTTTTGTTTAATTATGTACACAAGATGTCATTGCTCTTTGTCTGCCTCACAAAGTAATTGTTGAATTTTATGCCTTCAGGAAT